CAGAAGAGGATAGTGTTTTAAAAGATTAGAAATGTTGAAATAGAACAAAATGAGGCCTCAGATCAGTAGCATTAATCTACCTGGAAATTTGTTAGAAATCCATATTCTTGGGCCACACCCCAGTTCTACTGAATCAGAAGCTCTGAGAGGCTCCCAGGGATCCCAGGGTTCTGTGTTTCAGGAAGCCCTTCAGCTGATTCTTTTGCTCACTGAAGTTTTAGAACCACTTGATTATTCGCTTGAAGGCAGATGTTTCGTCTTTCTTCTTTTTACCATCACAGAGAACTAGTTTTTTTGTTTGTCTGTCTGGCCTCCCCTCATTTTTTCAACTGGCATCTCCTTCCTTTCTCACATTTATTTTAACGTAATCTCTAGAGAAGCGTAGGGAGAAAATGGACACTTGTCCGTTATATGTTAGACACTGCTAAAATACTCATCCCGTTGTTATTAGTTGCTTTTGAGCAGGCTCTGACTCATGGTGACCTTCTGTATAACAGAATGAAAAGTTGCTGTCCTGTGCCATCTTCATAATTGTTGGTATGCTTGAGTACATTGTATCAGTCCATTCTCACTGAGGGTTTCCCTCATTTTTGCTGACCCTCTGCCAAACACCATGTCCTTTTCTAGCGACTGACATTTCCTGATGACATGTCCAAAGTAAGCAAACCGAAGTCTCACTGTCGTCACTTCTAAGGAACACTCTGGCTGTATTTCTTCTAAGATTGATTTGTTCATTCTTTCGACAGTCAGTTGTTCAGTATTCTTTGTCAACACCACAATTCAAATACATCAGTTATTCTGTCTTCCTTTTTCATTGTCCAGCTTTCTCATGCATATGAGGCAGTTGAAAATACCATGGCTTGGGTCAGGTGTACTGTAGTCATTAAAGTGGCATCTTTGCTTTTTAAAACTTTAAAGAGGTATTTTGTAGCAGATTTGCCCAGTGCAATACGTTGTTTGATTTCTTGACCACTGCTTCCATGGACGTTGATCTAAGTTGAATGAAATTGTTGACAACTTCAATTTTTTCTCCATTTATCATGATGTTGATTATTGGTTCAGTTGTGAGGATTTTTATTTTCTTTAAGTGCAGACATAATCCATACTAAAGGCTATAGTCTTTGACCTTCTTCAGTAAGCACTTCAAATCATCTTCATTTTCAGCAAGCAAGATTGTGTCATCTGCATATCACATGTTGTTAATGAATCTTCCTCAGATCCTGATGCCCCCCGTCTTCTTCCTGTAGGCCCGTGTCTTAGTCATCTAGTGCTGCTCTAACAGTAATACCACAAGTAGATGGCTTTAACAAAGAGAAGTTTATTTTCTCACGGTCCAGTAGGCTAGAAGTCCAAATTCAGGGTATCAGCTCCAGGGGAAGGCTTTCTCTCTCTTTTGGCTCTGGAGGAAGGTCCTTGTTGTCATCAGTCTTCCCCTGGAATAGGAGCTTCTCTGCACAGGAACCTCAGGTCCAAAGGATGCACTCTGCTCCTGGTGTTTCTTTCTTGGTGGTATGAGGTCCCTAATTCTCTGCTTGCTTCCCCTCCTTTTATCTCTTGTAAAAGATGGTGCAGGCCACACCTTAGGGAAACTCCCTTTACATTGGATCAGGGATGTGACCTGAGTAAGGGTGGTGTTACAGTCCCACCCTAATCCTCTTTAACATAAAATTACAATCACAAAATGGAGGCCAACCACACAATTCTGGGAATCATGGCCCAGCAAAATTGATACACACATTTTTTGGGGGACATAATTCAAACCATGACAGCCGGCTTCACAGATGTTCAGCATACAGAGTGAATAAGTAAAGTGAAGGGATACAATCCTGTTGCATACCTTTTCCAGTTTTAAACCACTCATTATCCCCTTCTTCTTTTCAAACGACTGCCTCTGAATCTATGAACAAGTTCTGAATGAACACAATTAAGTGTTCTGGAGTAAAATAAAATACTATGGGGGAATATATAAGTCAATAGGATCTACGTTCTTCTCTAAGAACTAAAATGTGTATGGTTATATAAGGTGCACATATAATAAACTGAGTTATTCTGATTTTATTCCTGTTTTTTTAACACTTAGAGCCCTCCTTAATATTTTGATGTCGCTAAAATGACAGCTTTTATGCATGAAGAGATATTTTAAAGACAAAATTGTTATTAAATTTCTTTTAATGTATTAATTTTTAAGAACAACTACAATCTGAGCTAATGCGTTGAACATAGTTCTCAGATGTTATAATTCTTCCCTATTCTTAGTATTTTATGTGTGTATTATATGTTGGCTACCTGTGAATTTATTAACTTTTTAAAATTAATATTTTTAAGAAAAGTGCCTCAGATATTGTAGCAAAATTAGGTTGGAAGGCATACTTTTGTCAGTTTTGAGAGTCTTGGCTTCAAAATCAGTGTGTTTGGATTTAATGCCTAGTTTTGCCACTTATTAGCCTTGTAATCTTAGGCAAATATATAATCTCTCTTAGCCATTTTTTCTCCATCTGGAAAGTGGGAATAATAGTACCTACTTCTTAGAACAGTTTTGAGTTTAAATGAGAATGTATATAGAATAGTTGGCACAGTGCCTGGTGTATAAGTGCTCAAAAAGTGTGAACTGCTATGATGATGATGGTGACAGTGACATGGCTGTCACTTTTTTTACTTCAGTTTAACCAGTACACACTGTTTTTAGAGTTAGAAAATGTTAGAACCCAGAAGGGACTATAGGTATAATTTAAATGAGCATTTTCCAAGCTGTTTTCTACAGATCACAAGGCTCTTGCAAAAAAGAAGTTAACAAGTTAATAGTACTATAAAATAAAATTTTTTTTTTTTTGTCCAAATAAGTTTGGAGAAGCCAATGTACTGTATTTATCTCTTGGAAGTTTGTAATGCATATTGGCATATTAAAGGTTTTAATCCTTAGCATTTATCAAAATTACTTAACCGTAGAAACTTTTTCTGTGGGAAATACCTGCTAGTGTTTTGCAAAATACAGTATGGGAAAAGCTGATCTACATTAACCATTTCTTTTTATAAATAAAGAAATATATGGGTGCCTCCTGCACCCCCTAAACCCAAACCAAACCCACTGCTGTCGACGATTCTGACTCGTAGCAATCCTATAGGACAGAGTAGAACTGCCCCACAGGGTTTCCAAGGCTGTAAATCTTTACGGAAGCAGACTGTCATATCTTTCTCCCATGGAGCAGCTGGTTGGCTCTAACCACCAACCTTTTGGTAGCAGCCAAGCGTTTTAACCTCTGCACCACCAGGGCTCCTTTCCTTGCCCCTCAATTCTTTAGAAATCAGTGACTTGTCTACTGTCACACAGCTGTAGACTCAGATTGGAACCTAAACCTCTTCCTAGTCATGTTTACTTAGTTTTCTGATCAAATTTGGGTATAGAATGCAAAATTATTTGAATGAGTAGAAAATTGGAGGTGGTTCTATAATATACTGTGACAAGAAAAGAGAAATGGAAGATAATTCTAATAGACAGTCCCTGGGTTACGAACGTCCATCCAATTTATATACAACCCATAGTTATGAACCAACCCCTGTAAAACCTATTATATTAAAAATTCAAGGTACATGTAATGGTTCATAATAACAGATGGGTACTACTTTGCAATGAGCATCAGAACATTATTAGTGTTATTACTGTATTATTAGGTTAAAGATGTTTTAGTGTATCTGGAAGTATTTTTTTAAATGTTTTTAATACATAGGAGGGTACACTATATACGCTAAGACATTTGACTAACTGATGTTAGATATGAACTGTACCTTGCTGTTCCAACTTACTACAAATTCGACTTAAAAACAGCCTTAGGAGTGGAACTTGTTCATAATCCAGAGATTGCCTTATAGTGCTTCTCATGTTTGCCTGATTGTAAGAGTTTCTAGATTGCATGTTAAAAATACAGATTATCAGGCTTCTGTTCTGGCAGGTTTGATTTATAGGTATGAGGTGGTTTATCATTGCTAGGTAATATATGAATAGGTCCAGAATTCCCAGAAGTTGATCTTTATAAAATCATAAGAGTCATATGGTCCTGAGTGACTAGAGAATTGGTGTTATCTTTCTACACTGACAGAAAGACAACTAAAAATAGACCAGATTCTATGACAAGAAGTGCAGACAAACCTCACTTCATGTACACTTACATCTTAAAGTCACATATGTGTGGAGAAGAAAGTTATTGGTTTATTTGCTTATTTGTTGCCTTCCAAATACCCTCTAGTAGCCGTCATCTGAAGCAGTTATAGAAATCGTCTACTAAGTAAGTAGCTGTGTGATTATTCGAAGCTATACATTTTAATCAAAGTGACAGATTATCAGCAAGCTATATTAAGTTCTCTTTTTATAAATCATTGGCTCATTAAATTCAATTTTTACTTTTTGACCAAGACTGTTGGAGTCACCTTAAAGGTACAGGGTACCTATAATTTTAATTTAAATCTAGGTCTTCTTATGAAAGGAAAACCTCTAGCAATATCTACATGGAAAACTTTATTAGTATTTGGACTGATAGCATAGCCTTTATAGCTGATACCTACTCAAGTCCTATACAGACAGAATTCTCAATGAAATGGGAATTAATTCTGATGTATATTCTAATGCCTGCTTTTAAATACATATTAATAGTTAAATCAGCCAATGGCAGAAAATCAAACAAACATCGTTTGGGATAAATAATTGTATATTGTCATAAACTAAGATATTTACAATCTTGTGTAGGGACTTCATATGTTATAATTGAAACATTTCTGAAATTTGCTGTACATGTATCTTTTCTTTAAGGTCTATAAATTTACGACCAGGCTACATACAAATTTTCCCATTTTTCATTTTTTGTTACATGTTGTAAATTAGATTGGATTCCCTATGTATTAGATTGAAGATGTATTTGTGAAATTATCACTTTCAAAGTTATAATACTGTTATCTTTTGTTCTCTTACATATTTTGTAACCCACTTTTCCTTCATGTTTTGACTTCAGAGAAACCAAACTAAATAAAATGTAATTATAATATCAAGATCCTTAAAAATGTTCCTATCTGTTGACGCAGTATTTCATGTCTGGAAGTCTAGCCTGAGGAAATAATTTGGAATGCAGACAAAGCTTTATATCAAGGTATTTATCCCAGTGATATTTGAAAGAGTAAAAGATTGATTAAATAAGTTATTATACAGCCATATGATGAAATATTAGGCAGAAAATGAAATTTGTTTCGACTGAATGTGAAGTTTTTGTTCCTTATTGCCTTACTGTTACTTTCTAGGCATAAACACTGTATCATTCAAGACTTTTTTCTTTTATGCAAAAGTTTTATTGGCATGGTATGATGTTTTTGGTATAAGGTTACATTGAAAAAGGGGTTAACAAATTATAAATACATAAATGTTTTTTTAAAGTTACCAAAAAAGATTGGAAGAAAATATATTAAAATATTAATAACGTTTACCTCTGAATTTGTATACTTTCAGCTCCCTTTCCCAACTCCCCAAATAATTGTTTTTTTTTAAAAAAAAAAACTTCATAATAATCAAAGGATAATCTTTTCACATCAAAAAGAGTAGGAATCTAAAAGTCTGAGAGAGAAAATGTTTGAAGGACCCTCTCCTTTCTCATTGTTAACAATTTAATTGTTAGTTGAAGCTATTTTTTTACTCAATAATAAGGTCGTGAGTAGAAAGATAAAGACACCAGTAGAGAATGATATCAATGAAGTAAAAGATAGGGTGAGTAGAAAATTTGTTTACGTAAATCTGAGTTTGATGGAGTAACTGTAATAATACCAGAAATGAACTTCAGAGGATGCAAAAATGATCCTTATGAGATTGGTTATTTGGAATTGGGAATTTATTTCATTCATAATAAACTAAACAGCAGGTTTTCAACCACTATAGAAGGTGAATATGAAGAATATTTTCTCTTCTGGAGGACTTTGATCTTGCAGTTACAGTATGTCAAAAAATTTTCACAGATAAAATGTGGTAGGGGCAGAATTCAGACCTAGTTTGGTCAGATTCCAAAACACTTGCTCTATATGTGGGTCATATTTAGGATTCTAATTTCCACCTAAGACATGCCTTTTTTGTTGTGGAAATAAAAAATGTACCTCAAGTTACATTAATTCATCATTACTCTTTTACTGGAAAAGGATATTTCTGTTTCTGTAACCTTACTGAAGAGAATAAAATTTTTCTGTCTGTGTTCCTATTTGTATTGCAGTAATTTCTGAAAAACTGAAAAGTGAATTGCTGTCCAAAAAGGGGGAAAAAACAGTTACAGTTACGTGTATACTTCTAAATCCTCAGTGTGATACGCCTAGAAAGGTGGTTCCTGGAACTGTAGTGTACATAAGAATCCTCTGGGGAGTTTGTGAAGATTCCTGTACCCCTCAGAGTTTCTGATAACAGTATATCTGGGGAAGGACCCAGAGATCTATATTTTAAAAAGCACTCCTAGTAGTTTTGATGCATAATGTCCCTAAACCATACTTTGAGAAACACTGGTCTAGAAGTTCTACGTCCCAGTTCACATACTGGATATCCTCCCAAGGGGGGATGACTTTACAAGTGCCTTCACAAAAGTATTTTTGGCTTGTTTGATTTATGATTGCTATTTGCCTGTTTGGCTTAATGAAATCCTACATACCCATTCTAGTATTAAATAAATGCTAGTTGACTAAGTGGGTATTTGATATTCATTTCTTTTGGCCTTTTATTCCAAACTGTTAGGAAAGCTTATACTAATCCAGTATTTCTGGAAAAGTATTTACAGTATATGTGAGGAACCATAAAAATGTGCATATTCTTTGCAACAATGCCATGTCTGGAAATCTATTATTAGAAAATTATCAATCTTCACTTCATTAGTATTTTTAGTGGTAAATTTAGTATAAACAGGCTAACATCTATCAAGATAGGATTTCTTGAAATGACTTGAGAAAATGCTGATGTTACTAGGATACAGTATACAATATTAAATATATACTATGATATTTATGATATATAATGATGTGATATCCACTGTGATATGATAAAAGGAGGAAAAAAAGAGTATAAGGAAATAAACCAAACTCTTCCTTTTCTTTATCTCTCATAGCAGAGTTACAGAGAATTTTTTTCTTCTCCTCTTCTGTATTTTCCATTATAATTTTTTATTAAGAGAAAAAAATTATAAATAACTGTTTTTATATCTTCACAGTTAATTTGATTGTATAGATGAAAGTCTAAGGATTGTCATATTACTTTCAATCATACTTAGTTTCATAGTATGCTGTGAAGTCTGCCAAATGCATATAGGTTTGCCTTTTATAGTAAGTTTGGTGTTTTTAAACCTTACGTTGTTCATCATTTTTTAGTACCTCATTGACTTTAAAGAATTTTATCATCATGTGTGTACCTTCTGACTATAGCATTTAGAATGTAATTGTCAGGTTGGGGCAGTTGCCATTTGTAATAACTAGGAACACTCAGGCCACTTTTGGGGTGGAGCTGTTTGTTAGAAGACATAGAAGCCCTTTATAAACGTTGGAGATATTTTATTAAAAAAAAAAATTATTTCACTCTTAGGTATGCCTGTGTAAAATTACCAAAATGATTGTCGTTAGACTTTCTGCTATCACAGTATTTAAATGTACACAGTATGAAAAATGCATATACACCTAAAAATAATATCACTACTAAAAGTAGGAGGGGGCTTCTATAGCAATATTTATCCAATGTTAAGCCCTTCTCATTGAACAGTTTAATGGTTTTGTTGAAGATGAGGTATTTTAACGACTGCTAATTAAAATTGGACCTACTGACTGATTTGTTTTCTTGTACTGTACTTGTATTTTGGATGTCTTTCTACATGCTTCTGCTAATGAGAAAATAAATCATCTAGTAAGTTTCAGTGGAAAAAAAATATCAGAAGGTGCAGATCTTGAGACTATAGCTTTTAACTTGTACAAGACTTTTTTTTTGGTGATTTATCAATTGTGAGTATATTTTTCTAAATATAGAAGAGGAATGTTCATGAACATAGGTAGAATATCACACTTTAGGATACTTCACTTTCAAGTTTTTATGGTGCAGGACCAGACAGTGTTTCATTCTGTTGTACATAGGGTTGCTGTGAGTCAACCAACTTGACAGCACCTAACGACGACAACAACATATAGAGAGGATCTTGACGGATCAAATGCTACTTTGAGACAGTTAAAACATTAATTAACCCTATATTAAAACTGAAGTCCAGTAAGGTTAATTGACTTGCCCAAGGTCTCATGACTAGTAAGTGTTAGAGAGAAAACTACAACCTAGATCTTTATTCTCCTAATGTAAGGCTCTTAATTATTTTCTTGGATCATTCCATTAATACATTTCTCACAAATACAGCCTGTGTCAGTGTTCACAATAATCTAAGGTTTTAAGTATATTTCTAGAATTGTAAATAAAATCCTGGTGTTAGAGTATTTTTGCCATATGATAATATTTTACAATAAAAATTAAGCAATTATGAAAATAAATAGCCTAGTTTTTCAATTTGGTATAAGTTGGCTTTATTTTATACTACTAATAAAGGCACATTATGCTCAAGCATTGCAATTATCACTGAAATGCGCGTCCATTAACTGAAACATTAGGCTGAGTATATAATTACTGTCTAGAGCCAATATCTTTGTGAAGCTGCATCTACAATGCTATTAAGCTATAAGCAATATTTGTAAACTAATATTTAAATGATTCAGAATTGATACCATCTCTTGCAAACTTAAAAATGAATACTATGTACATTCAATTTGATCTTTTTTTTTTAATGTGCTTAGAAAAATATGCTGGGAATTCTCAAGGATGATTAAAATATGTGACTGGAGAGAGATGAATTTGAATACAGTTGCTATAACCTAATACATATTAATCTTACTGAAGTCTTTCATCTATACAAAATAAAATGTATATAAATTCCTTTCATAGTAAAATGGAAGTGACTGTAACCAAGCTTTTTAATTCAGATGGTCTTTTTGGGCCTATCAGTGCAAAATTGCTTTTAAATCTGAATATTTATATTGACTATTGAAATATACCTGGGTTTATAAAAAGTTTACTCTTTACAACAATGTGTACCACTTTTCTTTACTATTATCACATTTAGAAGGGTGTTTTGATAGCTGTTGCATATAGATGCTTCACAATTTCATACAATGTACCTTTCTAATTTGTGTAATTTACACATTACTATAACTCTGTCCTATAGGGTTGCTATGAGTTGGAATCGACTTGATGGCAGTGGGTTTGGTTTGGTTTTGGTTATATAACAGTATTTAATTTATTTTACACTACTAAATTCTCACTTCAGTGCCGTGGCTTGGGCGTACATATCCACTTTATACAGTGAGGACAGAGTCAAAAGACTTGCTGCCTGGTTTTGTTTCTACCACTAATGCATTTTTCTAGTGAAAAATATTTTCATTTTGGACTTGATTTCTGTGCCAGTCTTTGGCACTTAGTAGTCTATGGCCTTGGGCAATTTCCTTAATTTCTCTAGGCTTCACTTTTCCTCACTTTGCAGGGTTTTTATGAAGGTTAGAGATAATAAGTATAAAGTGCTTCACACAAGATTGGTATTTTCGTAATCATCGCTATCAGCATTACTTTAGTTGTATAACCTTGTGTAAGTTATGTATAGCCAAATATCAAATTTAGCCCAGATAAAACGAAAGGATTGAAGTAGATTGGGAGAAATGGGTTTTAGGATCTTTGAAATGTTACGCAAACATTTTATTATGCATGCTTATAGAAGATTCCTAGTGTTCATCAGATTATCAAAGTGGTTTATGAATTCCCCAAAAGAATAAACACTAGACTGGATGATTTCTATTTTCTTTTCAAGTGGTAAAATTTCTTGATTATATGTTATACAGTTAACCTCAATGTTTCCAGAGCTAGGGAAGTTCTGATCTTTTTTTTTTTAAAACAAGATCTCAGAATATAAATGTTTGCTGCTGTCCAAAGGTGATCATTGTAGTCTCTGGCTTCTGGTAATGTTGGAGTAGCTTATATCAGATAACCTTAAAACTATAACCTCTGGAAGGAAGGGGGGTACATTTTGAAGGCACTGGAGAGTGACCAAAAGTAGGTGGAAACTGGAGGGTATATGAGCCTTGAAAGAAAGAAACCAAGCTGGTCGAGATCCACATTTATCTGTCTTTTCT